AAAAATGAAATATTCGATTAGAAAATAGATCTAGAACAGATTATCTACTACGAGAGAATTTATTGCAGCTCGATTCGATCGTAATTGAAAGTTTCAACGAATACGTTTTTCTGATCGTACCAATTGAATTACAAATATCTCCTGAATTTCTTAGCAAAATAAAGAGTTCATTTTTCAATAAAATCAACGTTTATTACTAATCCATACTTTTGTTCCGTTTCAGTACCCATGCGTGCAAGTACGGTTGATATTCAACCGAATGCAACATGGTCAAAGAATGGTATCACTGTTGCTGGAGGAAATGGACATGGCAGTGGAACCAATCAACTCTATTCCCCACATGGTTTGTACGTCGACGATGATCTAACGATTTATGTCGCTGATCGTGATAATCATCGTGTTGTTGAATGGAAATCCGGTGCAACGAATGGACAAGTAGTTGCTGGTGGGAATGGAGCAGGAAATGAAGCTAATCAATTAAATTATCCACGAGATATGATTATCGACAAAGAGAGCGATAGTCTCATCATCTCCGATTACGATAATAAAAGAGTAGTTCGATGGCCTCGTCCAAATGGTACTCGTGGAGAAACAATTATTTCAAATATTGCTTGCATCGGTTTGACAATGGACGACAATGGTTGTCTCTATGTCGTTGACTATGAAAAACATGAAGTGAGACGATATAAAATGGGTGATACTCAAGGAACAGTAGTTGCAGGTGGCAATGGAAATGGAAATCGTCTCGATCAACTCTCTGATCCCCGCTACGTATTTGTCGATCGAGATCATTCAGTTTATGTGTCTGATCGTCACAATCATCGTGTCATGAAATGGGACGAAGGTACCAAACAAGGCATTCGCGTAGCCGGTGGCCAAGGACAAGGAAATAGTCTTACCCAATTGAATGAACTTCGAGGAGTCGTTGTCGATCAATTGAGTACTGTCTATGTGACTGATAATCATAATCATCGAATCATGCGTTGGCCAAAAGGAGCCACACAAGGAAGTATCATTATTGGTGGAAACGGTCAAGAGGCACAGTCGAATCAACTTGCTTTTCCCGTAGGTTTATCATTTGATCGACATGGTAATCTCTATGTCGTCGATAACGGAAATCAACGAGTACAAAAATTTAATATCCAGTGAACTCAATATGATGATTAGGTTTTGTGTTTCGTTCTCTTTTTCTCTTTCAAATAAGTCGTGATTGAATGAAAAATGAATTGAAATCTATTCTATGCTCGTACGCACTCGCGCGACCAGAAACGACGCTGGTAGAGCCGTGGCAAGCGCAATGCTTATACACGGGCTGGAAGATTCACATCATTCACATGCACCCATCCGATAACATGCGTCAGTGAGCCTGGGGGCCCGATCGTGTTGCCATGAACATCAGAGCAGTTCCTGGTCGGGCTTTTAGGGACTACCCAGAAGTT